GTCCTCACTGAGACCGATGGAGGCGCCGATGGCAGATGGCAGAGGCTCCGGGGAAGGTTAGGGCAAATGCGCTGTGCCCAGAAGAGTTGAATGGTGGGGTGAGAAAGAGAGGACACTTACTGGGAAGAGATCCTCTCGAGATCCCCATCCTTACTGTCACGTTTGGGGGGGGGGGGGGCTGCCCGTTATCTTCGGTGTTTAATCACTCTGCAATTCCCACCAAGAGAATTAGCTTTGCCTCCGCGGGAGAGGGATGGATTGAGATATCTTCTTTCTCCCCAGCCCCCCAAGTCCTGCTGTCTTCTTTCTCTTCTTTCCCTCCATCTTCCCTTTCTACTGCCTCTCCTCCCTGGCTCCCTGCCTCTTTGCCTCAGAGGTTCAAGTCCAGAGGTGTGGCTGTTCCCCATCGTGAGGCCAGTTCCTGAAGATAAAAGGCTGCCTGGAGAGGAATAAGGAATCTATTTATGAAACCATTTCAAAAATGGTTTCAGTTTCTTCCAGAAAAAAAAAAAAAAAAAGCGCCATAAAATGGAAGAGAGTAAGTAAAGGTCCTGGATGAGAGCATCTTAATTTTTTTTAAAGGAGATTTATCCACGTTTTATTTGTATATGTTTGCCTGCATGTATGCTTTGTGCCACGCGTGTGTTTGGTGGTGCCTTTGGAGGTCAGATCAGAGAAAGGAATCAGATCTCCTGGAGATCTGGAATGACAGATCTGGAATGACAGATGGTCGTGGGATACTACTTTCTTTTCTTTTTGTCGTTTTTGTGTTTGTTTGTTTGTTTGTTTGTTTGTTTGTTTGTTTTTCTCTGTGTAGCCTTGGCTGTCCTGGAACCACTTTGTAGACTAGGCTGGCCTCGAACTCACGGAGATCTGCCTGCCTCTGCCTCCCTGGGTGCCTGCTCAGTCTACTGCTGTCTGTCTCTGCTCCGAACTCTTCCAGATGCCTCTGGCTGCACTCTCCTTCATGTCTATAATAGAAACCTTCCACTTACCCTTACCTTGGAGTGGTCAGGTAGTCAGTTTTCACTCTTACCCTGGACAAAAGAATCTTAGATTTGTTTAAAATCTAAGGCAGAAGTGACTGTGCCTGCCTTCAATCCCAGCACTCAGAAGGCAGAGGCAGGAGTATCTCTTGTGAGTTCCAGGCCAATCTGGTCTACATTGACAAGTTCCAGGCCAGCCAGCACTACATATCAGGACTGTGTCTCAATTTAAAAAAAAAAAAAAAAAGAGTCAACAGAAGGTGAGTATGATGGTACACACTAGCCCCATAGGGTGAAGGCAGAGGACCAGGGACTCAGTGTCATCCCGAGTTTCCATACATATGGAGTTCCAGACCAGCCTGGGCTGCTTGTGGCTGCGTTTCAAAATAATAACCACTGTTTTCAGAAGCGGCAATGTCACCCTTTTACTATTCTATTACATTTTTATTTATTCTGCGAGCACGTGTGTGAGCATGCACGTGACTTGGCATATGCGTGGAGGTTGGAGAATGACTTTCAGGAGCCAGTTCTTTCCTTCTGCTGTGCAGGTCCCAGAGATGAAGCCCTGGTCGTCAGTCTTGGCATCTGGTACCTTTATCCACTGAGCTTTCTTCCTTCCTTTCCTGTTTTGTTTGTTTGTTTGTTTGTTTTTGTTTCTGGTGAGGTAGTTCACGACAAGGTTTCTCCATGTAGTTTTGGCTGTCCTGGAACTCACTTGTAGACCAGGCTGGCCTCAAGCTCACAAATATCTGCCTGCTTCTGCCTCAGAAGCAAAATCTTTCTTAGCTCACCTTCCTCTACTATCCTTACCTTGTTCACCCAAACTGCCACCACGTGAGCTGAAAGAGAGCATCTGTGAATCTTCATAAAAATGCTCTCAGGGGCTGGAGAGGCAGCTCAATGGTTAAGAGCGCTGGTTGCTCTTGGCAGAGGGTCTGGGTTCGGTTCCCAGAACCCACATGGAATCCCACAACCATCTGTGAGAGTAAGAGTTTGATCTGACAGGCAAGCACATCTTGGCCGAGAATTCAAGGCCACCGGAGGCTGGAGCAGCTGGCCACACCATGTCCAGTCAGGAAGTGGAGAGAGATGAATGCAGCCATGTTGTTACTCAGCTCCCGTTCTTCATTTAACACACCCCAGGGTTCCCTGCCCAGGTACGGTCCCGCCAGCCCACCCTTAAGATCAAGTGATGTAACCAAGGTCACCCAGAAGTGAGTCTAGATTCTTTCAAGTTGCCAACACTGTCACAGTCATTAAGTGAGTATAGGGCTGATGAGACGCCACTCTGCCACTTCCTAGAAGTGAGCCTGGCCAAGTTTCTCCTGATGTCTGCAATCCTCAGTTTCCCGACTTAAAATCCAGGCACTAATGGGCTAGGGACATGGTTCAGTACTTAAGAGCTTGGTGAGCAAAGCACGGAGACCAGATTCCAGTCCCCCGGAACCCACATTAATGCCAGGTAGGCATGATGGCTCACCTGTAATTTTAGCCTCAGAAGGCAGAGACGGAGAGTCCCTAGAGCAAGCCATGCCAGCTAGGGAGACCAGTCATATCTGTGAATCTTGGATTGATTGAGAGACCCTGCCTCGTTGCATAAGGCGGAAGAATGATTGAATATGATTCCAGGCATCAACCTCAGGCCTCCGCATGTATATGCACCCACATGTACCGCCCACATGTGTGCCTATACACATGCAAACATGCATGCACACACACGTGCAAATGGAGTGGAGTGAGAAAAACATCCAGCTACGAAGAGTCTACACCAAAAAGCAGGCTTGCTGACAACTGTGGCACAGGGAAAGTGCCTGCAACACGCTTAACAAACAAACACAACTTACAGATGCCTTCAGCGGTGCCCTGAATCTGCATTAGTCAAAGGAGGCTCCATCAAATGCAACATAAAACACTTCAGCAAGTTTGCTGTGGCTGTGACTCACACATCTCCCTCAGCAATCAACTTGTCTTCCATTTAAAGGATGCATTCTCCTGTGACAAGCCTTACCACCTAAACTGCCTTAACGGTTCATTTTTCTATTACATTTGTTCATTTATTTCATTTGTACATTTGTCTGGGTGTATTTGTGTGTGTGTGTGTGTGTGTGTGTGTGTGCGCGCGCGCGCGCGCGCGCGCAGGCGCAAATGTCTGTGTGTACATACACATGGATTCCCACATATACGGCCTCTGAAGGAAACCCTTTCTTAGATGTTGTCCACTGGGTTTTTAATTTGTTTCTGCCGCAGGTTTTGTTTTGTTTTGAGCAGGAACACCGAGTAGCCTGGATCTCACTAAGCAGGCTGGGTTGGCGGGCCCGTGAGCCCCAGGGAACTGCCTGTCTCTGCTTCCCCAGCATTGACATTACAAAGACACCGCCACACCTTGCTCTCTTTTATTATTTAGCTTCATTTATTTATGTGCATGAATATTTTGCCTGCATGCCACTTGAGCGCCTGCTGCCCCTGGATGTCAGAAAGCATGCCTGACCTTCTGAACTCAAGTTCACAGGCTGTGAGCCACCATGGAGGTGCTGGGAACAGCCAGTGCCCTTAACCCCCAAGCCACTTTTCCTGCCCCACACCTGGTTTTTTGTTTTGTTTTGTTTTTTGAGATGGTTTCTCTGTGTAGCCCTGGCTGGTCTGGAACTTACTGTGGAGGCCAAACTCAGAGAACCACCTGCCTTTGCCTCCCAAGTGCTGGGATTGAAGGCAGGTGCCACTATCCCCGTCCACCTGGCTTTTTTTTTTTTTTTTTTTTTAACGTGGGTTCGTCGGATCTAATTCAGGTTCATGTGTTTATGAAGCAAGCACTTTACCAACTCAGCTCTCCCTCCGGCCCCCAAGGAATGATTTCCTTTTTAAAATAAATATATGGTTCTTCCCCCGTGCTGTCATTCTTGCTGACTTCCCTTACCGTTCCAAAATGGTCTTGGCCTGCAAGGAAACAGCAATGGTTCCTAACACCTGAGCTGTGGCTTTATTGATTCTTGACTCTTAGCAAATGATTTATTTCACTTGAAGATTTGCAGGGTACTGGGGAATTTATGAGATTCCTCTGGCAGCTGAATAGCTTTCCTGGGAGGTGAGTTCTCCTTAATCCCTGGTTCTCTTCGCTGCTCCATTAGCTGGGGTCTTATCTCTCAAGACATTTCATATCTACACCTGGGACCTTCATCACCCATTCTCTGTCAGGTCTTTCCTGCACCACAGAAAATCTCTGTTTCATTCTGTCTCCTGGAGCTCCAGCTACGCAAATTGCTGATTATTGCCTCTCCACAATTTTCTGCAGAGGCAGAAGATTTAATTTGCATTTTAAAATAATTTATGCAGACTAGAGTTCCAGGCAAGGGAAGTAGAAAGAATGGGATCAGGGCCTGCAATTTTTTGTGCATGGCAGCTATGCCTGTGTGATTGATTCCTTTCCTTTGTAGAGAAATCCAAACCCTTTGAATATAATTATTGAAAGGGCCAGGGAAATATAAGGAAAAGGAAGACATTACAGAGATGAAACAGGAACAGGATGTAGCTAGTGGGTAACGTTTCTCCAGTATGGGAGATACCCTGGATTCAATCTCTAGCCCTGGGGGGGGGGGGGGGGGGAAGGGAGGCAGCTTGATGCTCTATCGGGTAAAAGCGTTTGCCAGGCAAGCCCGGCAACCTACATCCAATCCCGGATCTCACGGTGGAGAGAACTGACCCCCGAAAGTTGTCTTCCGACCCCAACATATGCCCTGGGGCACATGAAAATCCACATCCCCTCCTCCTCACACATCATCATCACAATAATAATAATTTAAAGATTTATTTTTATTTGTGCGTGGCTCTGTAGAGGTATGGAGTCCAGCATTACGGGAGGCTGTGAGATACCGGCTGGGAACCAAATTGGGGCCTGCTGCAAGAGCATCACATGCTTTTAACCACTGAGCCGTCTCTCCAGCCCCAATAATAATAACATTCCTTTAAATACGGAAAGGCAATTATAGCTAAGAGAAGTGCACCTCACACAAGCAAAAGTAAAAACAGGAACTGTTTATTTCATGGCTCACACCGTTCCATGAAGGACAGCTGGGCTGCCTTTAATGATTTCAAAGGTCTCACTGACATACTGGGGAGGGAAGCCACCCTCCTCCATGTCGCAAGAACCATTCAGTGCGACTGATGACATGCAAACATAATTTTCAAAAACAGTAATACAATGATATGATACAAAAAGTTGATACAGCAAATAGATTTCACATCTTCAAAAAAAAAATAATAATAATGAGGAAAGGGCACTTTTACAATTCTGCTGTGCCCAACCGGAAATCTTGGCCACACCCACATTCACCATTCTGCTCCATTCACCAGAAGGAGGTTAAACTAATCCTTCTGGATCAATGGAATAAGGCTCTGCATCTGATATTTCAAATGATTTTTTTAAAAATAAACATCACACACTTATTTGTTCAGAATCTTCATATAAAAGAGTAATAATCATTTCAATACTATTAATCAGATTTTTTGGGGAGAGGTTATAATAACTTTTCTTTGAATAGTCACCCATTGCACTGAAAACCACAGATTCAGAATTCACAGTTAAATCACAATTAAAAAAAATTAAAATTTCATGCCAAATCAAAACAGCCACCAGTTAATGCTGAACACATTTACATTTCAAAGTAGTTTAAAATTATTTACCAAAATGTCTCTTTTTCTCTCTTAGTTTTAAATCACTGTTACTCTCAAGATGTACTTCATCTTGTTTGTTCATTTTTGCTTGTTTTGGTTTTTGGGGGGCTTGATGAGGGTTTGTTTGTTTTGTTTTGTCTTGAGACAGTCTCTCTGTGTAGGCCTGGCTCGCTCTGTAGACCAGACTGGCCTTGAACTCACAGAGATCAACCTACCTCTGCCTCTTAAATGCTAGGATTAAAGGCATGTGCCACAAGCCCATTCACACTCTTGTTTCTCAATATTTGACATTCACAGTATAATTAAAATTAGTTACATTCATTGGGGTCACAATGGTTATTCCATGTTCAAGATTCCAGAATCTGTACTGCCTACAATGAGGTAGATAGACTTATTGAGTGTTGTTGGCTAGGACTAATTTCCTTTAGACCATCTCTTTTTAAAAGATAGATTTCCAAAACATTTAGTAAAAGACTGAAAATGTCTTAGTACCTTGCCCCCCCCCAAAAAAAAAGGGAAAAAAAAACAGTATTTCAAAAGGTGTTATCAAAGTTGTTGTACCTCATTTTAATTTAAAAACAGAATAAAAGCATCGAATTACAAAGCCGCTACAGATCTTAAAGTGGCCATCTTTGAACACCGAGAGATTTGCTCTACTTTTGATTTAGGAAAGTGTCCACATTTGTCCACGCAGAGGCCCTCTGGTAAACACGTCCAGGGGCCAGACCAGCTGCTGCCCCTTCACGCTTTGACTCCTCCCAAGTTCAGGCCTGACTGCTTGGCCCTTCTCCAGGGGAACAAGAATCCCATCTCTGTAGGCACATCAAGTTTCAGACAGAAAACCTGCCGCACCCACGCGGTACAGCAGGCTGCAATGGATAAAGTTGGAAGTGAGCCGGGCCACCGGTGTTGGGCCTGTCTTGGACAGTGTGGCCCAGGGCCTGGTAGGTCAACCAAGGCATTGGTAGCTCCCAGGCCATTCAGGTTGGAGGGGGCAGACTGGGCATCAACCCAGCTAAAGGCCCCGGAGTGGGTCGACGAGAGATTTCGGTGAAGGACGGCAGGCCACCACGGATCTTGGTCTTTTTCCGGGGAGCCATGGGTGAAGCGCCCAAGAACTTGCTGAAGGAGCTTGACTTCTTCAAGCCACGGGCCAGGTCCTGGAGCATCAAGTCGTCGGACAGGACCCCCAGAAACGCGCTGGTGGTGGAGCTCAGGATGGTGGCGGCCACCTGCACGGGGTGCCGAGACACAAGGCTCCCACTGCCACCGCCGGCCGCGTCAGGCTCGGTGCCGGACCTCAGGCCAGGGTCACCAAGTAGACGCCGCAGCGCGTAGGAGGAGCCGGGCCGCAGGTACTGGTAGGCTCGGCGGCCGCTGTGGTCGCGGACGTGCACCTGGGCGCCCAGGCGCACCACGAGCAGCACGGCGGCGTCCTCGTGGCCGTGCAGGGCCGCCAGGTGCAGCGGCGTGTAGCCGCCGTGCGAGCGCGCGTTCACGTCCACGGGCGCGCCCCCACGCCGCGCCACCTCCACCAGCTGGAGGGCCATCTCCCGGTCGCCGCTCTTGGCGGCCCAGTGCAGGGCGGTGAAGCCGGACATGAAGTCGCGCTTGGCAGCCAGGCCGCGGTCCCGCAGGAGCAGCCCGTGCAGCTGGTGGCTCCAGCGGCCGCTGGCCGTGCGCACCAGCCACTCGTGCTCCGTGGGCTCCAGGGGCACCGCGGGGGGCGGCGGCGGCGGCGGCGGCGCGGGGGGCGCCTCCTCCAGGTCCGGGCTCAGCAGGCGCGGCCCGGCTCGGGACAGGCGCCTGAGGTGCGGCGAACGGCCGGGCCCCAGGGGCAGGCTCAGACCGGACTCCTCCACCGAGAGCCGCCGCAGAAGCATCGGGGAGCCCCGGGGGCTCGGCTCCTCCGAGCGCTGCCGGCGCAGGCCCTGCTCCTCGGCGCGGAGGCGCAGCGCGGCGGGGCCGGGGGCGACGCAGCGCAGCGGCAGCATGCAGGGCTTCTGCGGCGGCGCCGGGGCCGGGGCAGGGGTGGGCTCCGGGCCTGGCAGCTCGGGGCTCGGCGAGGCCAGCCCCGACGGCACCCCGGCCGGGGCGGCCACCTGGGAGGCTCCCTCCGAGGACCCGGGTGGCTCCGGCTCCTCGGGGGCCCCCGGCTGTGGCGCTGAGCCCGACGGAGCCTCCGGCGGGGTGACCGGTGGGGGCGGGCTCTCAGCGCCGTGCCGTAGCTCGGACGGTGCGGACGGGTCCTCCGGCGGTGCCCCGGCCGGCGGTGGGGAGCGGGGAGCTCCGGGGGCGCCGCTGTCCTCCGCTGGGACCGGCGAGGGGGGCCCCCCAGGGGGCGCCGGCTGGGGGGGCTCGGGTCCCTCCGGCGGCCGCGGCTTCTTCCTCAGCACCACGAACTTGACCCCGTCGAGCTCCTTGACCACGGCCACGTTGTTGACGAACCGCTTGAAGCGGTCCCTGCGGGCCGCGCGGCCGCGCGGGTCCCCGGCGTCCAGCAGCGGCTTGAAGCGGCTCAGCAGCTCCGAGTTGCGCACCTGCCCGCCGTGCTCCCGCAGGAAGCCCAGCACCGCCGCCTGGCTCACCCCGGCCGCGGCGGCGGCGGCGGCGGCCGCGGCGGCCAGCGCCATGCTGGGCCCCCCCTGGTCGCCCCCCGCCTCCGAGCTCACCTGGGCCTCGGCTCCCCGCAGCTGGACTGCAGTCACGCCCTCGCCGCGCCGCTGGCGAGTCTCCGGGCGAAGGGCGCCTGGGGCTCCCGCCCTCCGCCCGCGCCCCGCCGGGCTCCCACACTCGGGGCCAGGTTGCTGCCGAGAGGGCCTGTCCAATGGGCGCCAGGCTCCATGCCCCTGCGCGGGTGCTCGGCTTACAGGTGACGGCTGCCGCTGGAGGTGCGCAGGGGATGGGGGAGCGGAGCCTCTCTGCTCGGCTCCCACCCCAGACCGGAATTAAAGGCGCAGCGCCGATCTTCAGCCCCGCACCCGGTTGCTAGGTGGGTGTGTTCCCTGGGGATGTTCCCGTGGATGGGCGAGGCGAGGATATTTATCACCTTCAGCAGTTATTTGCCACAAGATATAAGCAATGTTTTTACATAGCTGTGCCCCTGCAATACATCTATTGCATCAACACCTCGCCAATTTCTGATGCTTTTCATACAGGGGGGGAAAAAACGGATTCACAAAATTCACAGCAAGAGCAGTTCACTGTGTGGCGTTGGGTGCATGGGACCAGAGGCTTGCATGAGGTTTAGAAAGCAGTTTTCTCAAGATGAAATATTTTTTTTCAAATGTGGAGCTTTGCAATTTTTATTTTTCCTTATTATTCAGTGTGTGTGTGTGTGTGTGTGTGTGTGTGTGTGTGTGTGTGTGTGTGTTTGTGTGTGTGTTAGGTCAGAGGACAACTTGGGCTGTCAGTTCTGGCTTTTCATCATCATACAGGCCCTGGAGCTCAAATTCAGGTCCTCTGGTTTGGCGGCAGCCCCCTTTATACTCACCGAGCCATTCTAGACATACCCCCTCTGCTTTGTCTATATGTGGTTCAAATTTGTCTGGAACTTGTGATGCCATTGTCTCTGTTCGGAGTGCTGGGGTTATAGGTGTGTGCCATCTTGCCTACCCCAAATAACCCATTTAACATAGGATTTCAGGAATAAACCCGCAGGAATACACCAAGATGGGGAGAAAATGTCACCAGAAATGACTATTAACATTTTGAAATATTTTCTTCCACTATGTATACATATGTCTGCTATACTTTAAAATTAAAATAGGAACAGGAATTGGGGTGATAGATATGGAACCCAGGGTCCCCCACATGCCAGGCCACACCACTACTCTCTCAGCTCATGCCGTTTTTTTTAAAAACTTCGGTTATTTCACAAATATTTATTGAGGGCATAGCTTGTGCCAGGACCTTTCAGGCTGTGACACATGTTGACAGAGATAAACGCTCTGACCTAGCAGAGTTCATTTATCTGGAGGAAACAGAAGTTTATGTGAGTTATAGCATACACCACAAATACCATAGAAAATAGAGCATGGTGAAACTCAACAGGGACCGGTTGGGAGTTCGAACTGGCAGTGGTCAGGACAGGACCCATCGTGAGGGTGACGGTGAGCCAAGAGCTCCCGGGTAGGTAGGTATGCAGGAAGAGCTTTTCCAGGAGAGGAAGCCTGTAAGGTTCTTGTTTCATTTTTGTTGTTTGTTGTTTTCGACTTTCACTTATGGGTGCGTTTGTGGTGGCACAGACATGCCGTGGTGCAGGACATTATCCAGGAGCACTTTCCTTTCACCTTGTGGATGCGGAGAGGATGGAACTCAGCCCCCCCTCCCCCAATCCTGCCGTGGTGGGTCGTTTGCTTTCCCTCCTATGACCCAGGATGACTTCAAACTCCTGCAGAAAAGCCAGGGGTAGTAGGACACACCTTGAATCTTAGCACTGGGGAGGCAGAGGCAGGTGGATCTCTGTGAGTTCAAGGCCAGAAGAGCTACATAGTAAGACCCTGTCTCAAAACAAAAACAAACAAACAAAAACAAGGCAGGCAGTGATAGTTTAGGACTTTAATCCCAGCACTTAGGAGGCAGAGGAAGGCGTGTCTCTGTGAGGCCAGCATGGTCTACAAAGTGAGTCCTGGACAACCAGGACTGCAAGAGAAACTCTGTCTTGAAAAACCAAAACAAACAAAAAACAATAACAGTAAATAATAATAATGAGCTAGGCTTAAGGCTTCAAGGTATATGGCTTAGCTATGGCCTAGTTCCTCTGGGAGACATTTTCTGGGATGTTCGCCAGTAAGGTTTTGCTTACAGTGGAGACATCCTGTCTTCCTGCAATTGACCCCAATTCTATTGGACCCCCTGTAATCCTGTCAGGTGCCCCTGAGGGTACCCCTGTGATCTCACTTAGGTTTCTGACCAACCCTTTAAAGGCAATAACTTCAAAAGCCACCAAAATGGTATATCTGACCGTTGCAAAGACAAGTAAATGCTAATTTTTATTTTTATTTTTTTTGAGAGCCCTATCTGAGTTCCTGTTCTGTTTTGTTTTGTTGTTTCAACCTGACACAAGCCAGGGGCACCTGGCTGAAAAGAGGGAACTTGCAGTTGAGAGAACGCCTCCATCAGATTGAGCAATAGACTGTAGGCAGCTCTGTGGGGAGGGGGGCATTTTCCTGGTTGATGGCTGAGGTGGGAGGGCTCAGCCTATGGTGGGTAGTATGACCCCTGGGCAGGTGGCCCTGATTTGTATAAGAAACAGACCGAGCAAGTTATGGGGAGCAAGCAGCATTCCTCCCTAGCACTGCTTCATTCATGCCTCCTAGTTCCTATCTTGAGTTCCTGCCCCGACTTCCCTCGGGGATGGGACTATACCCTGGGATATTTCAGCCAAACAAATCTTTTCCTCCCCAAATCATGATTTTTTCATCACAGCAATAAGAAGCAGACTCAGAGAGGCCCACACCCGTGCTCTTGCCCGGGCCTTACTTTCTCTCTGAATACAACACTCTTCCAAACTCCCCGTTTGGAATCTATGCGAAAACATCTTTACTAAGCCCCTTACTCTGCCTCATTGTAGCTCATCCTGAAATTCTCTTCTGAACTGAAGCCAAAGGTCTGGTTTTCCTGAGTTGAGGTCGCTGAAAGATTACGGGAACTCTCAGCCTGGGGAGCAGTGGGGCTCTGCTGCTGCTAATAGTGAAATCGCTGGCATTTCCGACTCAACATTGCCTTTTCTTCTTACTCTATTTTTTTCTTTAATGTCTATGAGGTTGTTACCTTCATGTCTGTGCATCGCTGGCGGCATGCCTGGTTTCTACAAAGGCCAGAAGAGGGCATTGGATCCTCCGGAACTGGAGTTACAGATGGTTGAGAGTCACCATGTGGGAATTAGAAATTGAACCTGGGTCCTTTGCAAGAGCAGCCAGTTAACCCCTGAGCCATCTCTCCAGCCCCATATTCCTTTCTCTTAAAATCTACCCTGAGTTACACCCTAAAAAAACCTGTCTCACCTTCCCCAGGTTTATGGCACTCTGCTTTTGTCCACACTTGACTCCAGAGGCATCCACTGACTGTCTTTGGGTGTGAGCTGTGAGCCGGAGTCCCTGTGAAGATGTGGCCTGCCATTGGGGAGCACACCACTCAGAGTCTCAGAGAAAAGCTGCCGAGCCATTTTGCTACCTAGCCCAGAAAACGGACCCTCTGGGTGCTTGTGGGAAGGGTGGGTCAGGGGCAGCAGATGGGAAGCTGGCAGGTCCCCATGGACAGATGACATCTTGGGGGGAGGGCGGAAGACTGAGTTCAGGGCGAGAGGTGCCTGTTTGCAGTGGAGGGTGTGTCTGTCCCACGGCTCCCAGAAAAGATAACTCCGGGTTAGCACGCCTGCTGTGGGTGCGAGGCCTTGGGTGCTAGTTTGGACTTTACCCTGCCTGTGGTAGAATTCTGCAGAGAGCTTGCTTTATTTTGCTGGGCTGGAGAGCTGGCTCAGTGGTTAAGAGTGCATGCTGCTCTGGCAGAGGACCCGAGTCTGGTGTCCAGCACTTACGTAGAGCAACTCCCGTTCCAGGGGAGCTGGTGCCTCTGACCTCCACAGGTACTTGCATACACTTGCTGGAATCCACACACATATGCATGTAATTAAAAGTTAAAATAAGGAGCTGGAGGAATAGCTCAGTGTTTAGGAGCACAGCTTGCTCTTGGGGAGGTTTCCAGCACTCACCTGAGAGCTCACAAGTATCTATAACTCCAGCTCCAAGTGATCTGACCCTCTGCTGACCTCCAGGACCATCAGGCACACATATGGTGCATATACATGCATACAGGCAAAACACTCATACTCCAACATAAAATAAATTGGTTTTTCTAGTCAGGGTTTCTCTGGATAGCCCTGGCTGTCCTGGAACTCCCTATGTAGACCAGGCTGGCCCTGAACTCACACCTGCCTCTGCCTCCTGAGTGCTGAGATTAAAGGTGTGCTCTACAATGCCATGCTAAAAGAAATTTTGAATAGAAGTATTTTTTTAAAAAATAAAATATTTATACTTTATTGTTCGGTTTTTTTTTAATTGAATTTATTCTCCTTTTCTCTCTTACCCTTCTCTCTCCTTCTCTCTCTCTCTCTCTCTCTCTCTCTGTGTGTGTGTGTGTGTGTGTAAAAGCCACGGTGTGTGAGTAGAGGTCAGAGGACAATCCTAAGTAGTCAGTTCTTTTCTTTCACCTCTCACAGGGATGGAACTCAGGATGTCAGGCTTGGCAGCAAGAGCTTTTAGTTCTTGCCCTATCTTGCCAGCCCTGTTTGTTTGCTTGTTTGTTGAGGCAGGGTCTCACTCTAGCCAAAGGTGACCTAGAATTTACTCTGTAGCCCAGGCTGGCCTTGAACTCATGGTGATCCTCAGTTTCGGTGTCAGGTATGAGTCACTTCACCCAGTTTGTTTAATCATTTTCTGATCACAAAATCAAGATTTATTCCTTCTGGATATCACGTGGGGTTTATTTACTTATGTTTTTTTGAGGGGGGGGCTCTGTCTCATATAATGCAGCTCAGCCTTCAACTTGTTAACCAATGATGACAGCTAGGACTACTTAGAGAGACACTGGCCTCTCCCTCAAAAAATAACCAATGATGACTCTGATCTTC